AAAAAAGACACATGCACCCCAATGTTCACTGCAGCTCTATTTACAATTGCCAGGACATGGAAGCAACCTAAATGTCCATTGACAGATGAATGGATAAAGAAGATGTGGCACATATATACAATGGAATATCACCCAGCCATAAAAAGGAACGAAATTGAGTTATTTGTAGTGAGGTGGATGGACCTGGAGTCTGTCATACAGAGTGAAGTAAGACAGAAAGGGAAAAACAAATACCGTATGTTAACGCATATATATGGAATCTAAAAAAAGAAAAAAATGGTACTGATGAACCTAGTGGTAGGGCAGGAATAAAGACGTAGACATAGAGAGTGGACTTGAGGACACGGGGTGGGGGGGGGAAGCTGGGGTGAAGTGAGAGTGGCATTGACACAAATGTAAAATAGATGGCTAGTGGGAAGCAGCAGCATAGACAGGGAGATCAGCTCTGTGCTCTGCAAGGACCTAGAGGGGTGGGATAGGGAGGGTGGGAGGGAGGCTCAAGAGGGAGGGGATATGGGGATATATGTATACATATGGCTGATTCACTTTGTTGTACAGGAGAAACTGCAGAAACTAACACAGTATTGTGAAGCAATTATACTCCAATAAAGATCTATAAAAATAAAAAATATATATATGGAAAAAAAAATACACCTGGTCTACCCAGGTTTCCCTCATTGGCTACCTTCCCCAAGCTACGGGCCTGGTGGGGGGAGGGGACAGAGGGTTGCGGGACAAGCAATTTCGGCTTATGATTTTTCCAGAAGTTCTCACTTCCAGCTACACATTCAAGTTTGAGTGAGCTGATTTTCAGAGACCCAGATAGGTTTACTTCTGCAAAACCATTCACTGGATGGATGTGTTTGAAACGCTGATCGAAACCTGAGCGCTAATGCCAAAGATTAAGCAGATTCCAGGGTGGGGGAGTGGGGAAGCCGCAAGTTCCTCCTCTCACTGAACTGAACTGCAGAAAGCCTAGGAAAGGGGATGCCGCCGGCCCCTCCGGACCAGCCTCGACCGCGCCTGGCTGCCTCCTGCCCACCCGCCACCAAACACAACTGCCGCGTCAGGGGATATACGGAGGCAGAAGCGAACAATAATTTATTTCGCGGAAGGAAGGCGGAGAAGGGAATGCGGGTGGGTGGTGGCTGGGGTGACTCTTCCCAACTGAACGCCCAAGGATTTCACAGCCACGAGGGGCCGGCGTCCCGGGCCTGCGGGTTCGGCTGGGCGCGAGCACGCGGTCACCCTCGGGCTGTAAATAATTCCTGCGGCCAAAGGAGCCGGAGAGAAAGCGGGGGATGCAGCTTACTTCATCTCGCCCGTCAGAGCCGGCCGCTTCTCCCGGAAACGTCGGGGGCTGCGCAGGGCGCCCGGTGCTCCGGGCCGAGCTCAGGCCAAGCGGGGGCCCCACGCATCCTCTTCCGCCCGCCGGGCCCACCCTAACAGGGGCGCGTCACGCGGCCCCGAGCCTGACGCGCGCTCGGGTTTCGCCAGCGACGCCGGGGGCGGCGAACGGGGAAGGCGCGAGGCCAGGTCGGGCCCGACCGACCCTTCCCGGCCCAACCCGAGACTCGTCACTGTCCGCGAGGGCGCTGCAGCCGCGGGACCTCGCCCTCAGACCCCTGCGGCCTCGGCGCGCGCGCGCGCAGAAGGGGCCCCGCCGGGTCAGGGACGCGCACGCGCAGTGGGACCAGGCGAGGGGCGCGCGCAGTGGGGCCGAACGAGGGGCGGGCGGCAGAGGCGCAGGCGAGACCACGCCCCCTAGCTCCGGTCGCTGCGGGTAGGGGTCGGGGTCTGGGCCCTCCCACATGATTCCTGGGTTCCCGTGGATGGGCTGGACTTAAGAACGAAGTGAGCGGACCCTTCTCTGTCGCCTTGGGTTCTCTTGTGCATCATAGAGGCCGCCTTCTGGGCCACAGGAGGGCCGAGGGAAGTGGTTGTGTCGAGGAGCCGGGTTGCCCACGATCTGGCACAAGCTGTGGGACCTAGAACAGGTCACTTGACCTCGCTTTTCTCCATCTATGGAACGAGCGGCTTGGCGCATCCCATTTTTAATATCCGGAAGTAGTGGTTTACGGTTGGGAGAGCAGGCTGTGGGCCGTGTCTCCACCAGACAGCTTCAGCTCTCTGACTACACTCGTGTGACCTTGAAGACACTAACCTGTGATAAGTGCCCAGGAAGTGGTAGCTGGCACCTGTGTGGCTTTAGTAGCAAGATCGTGGATGGGCAAAAGGCCTCTGAGGGGTGATGGTGAGGTTATAAAGAGATGACAGGGTGAGCTACCTCTCTGAGCACTCAGTGGGTGGTATGCCGGTCCTCTGCCCCACCCTTCACCATTATCACACAGTACCTGACCCTCACTCTCACCTTCATGCCCACTTTCCTCCCAGCCCTACAGCGTGGTCAGTGCCCCCTGTGGGGCCGCAGCCATCAGAGAAGCTGCTGCTCCTTCCTGCTTCTCAGCAGACCCTGGGTGACCTTGAGTTAAATAAGGCAGGGCTGCAGCTACCTTGACCAGCCAGACCACCCAGGACCACCTCTTGGATGGTCTCATCCCTACTCCTGAGCATCTTAGCTCTTTCCCTTCTTCAGACCCACCTTCCTCCCATCCCAGAGACAGGAGAATGCCTGGTCACCTGTGCTGCAGAGCGCTTGACCACCCAACAGAGGGCATTCTGACCAGAGAAAGAAGACTTTTAGCAGCTTTTGATTCCATGAAGGTTCCATTAGAGGTAGGAATGTCAGGAACTAGCAGAAGGAACTTGGCAGTGGCCAGCAGACTAAGTAGGGCCAACCGGCGTGATTACCACACAGGATATTAAGCAAGAGGGTTCCAGGAAGGCTGGGGAGCCAAGGGGGGCTGGGCTCCACTGTCATCAAAGCTAGGGGCCATCTGGGGGCCTGCATGGAGCTGCTGGGCCTCAGCAAGGATTTGGCCATACTGGGTGGGACCTGAGAGGAGAGTCAAGGAGCCGGGTCCCTGCCCGGCTGCCTCCATAGCTGGAAGTGGGTGGGAGGGTCTAGGGCAGCGGCCAGCCAAACCATGCTGGACGATGCCAGGACTTGGCCAAGAGCCCTTCCCATGTTCGTAACCCTGGGTGCACTGTGCACTCGCATAGCATGTAAACTGGGGCCAAAGGAGGCACAGATGGGAGAAGGCAGTGCTCAGAGACTGATATGAGCGGTGGGGACGTTTCCCAGATCCTTGTACAGCCAACGTCCGTTACCTCGAGGGCACCTCTCAAAACATCCCAAAGCCAAGTCAGCAGTAACCAGCTTATTAAGAACATGCATGTGTCCACTTAGGTGTCAGTGGGGTGGGGACTGGGGAGTGACATGAAATGAGCCTAGGGTGTCACAGCTGTTCTCCCTGCCAGTACTTCCATGCCCACACATAGCTGAGATGTTTTCATTTCTCTACCCTCTCTCACTCTTAGTCCTTATCTCAGTCTCCTCCTGACTCTGTACCTTCTAGTCTGATCTGGACCATTACTTTGCTTTCTTTCCATCATGAAAACAATTTGGTTTCATCCAGGTGTGAGAGTGTTGCCCCCTAAAACCAAAAATCTCAAAGCTTGTCCACGGGGCTTTATGATGAGCTTTAGCACCTTTGCATACCTAAAGCTTTTCTCATTTCTTTGCTAACAGCAGCTACAAGGCCACATCACAAGATACGCCACATCACAGGTTATGCCACATCACAAGGTACTCCATATCCCATCGGACCAGGTATGCCCAAAACCCTCTGAAGGAAGCCGGAAGAAAGGAGTGATGCCCTGTGGTGGTGATGGAGGGTGTCCCGTGACCTGAACTGTGTCTGCAAGGAGCGCCCTGGAGCTCTGTTTGAAGCTGACTTTTTTTGTCTTCCTAAACTGTGGGGTAGGCAGAAGTCAGGGTTAATTGAGCCTGCTTCCCAGATGTGGAAAGTGAGACCTGGAGAGACGAATGACTCACAAGAGAGGGCAGTGGAGTTAGAAATAAAATCATGTTGCAGTTTCCATTTTGGGGAAGCAGTCACTAAGTCAGTTCTACTTCTTCACTCTGCTCTTTGTACAGGGTGGGGAGGAAAGAACAGGTGTCATGGATTTTCAACCACCAGTACATCTTTTCATCCCCAGGCATGAGAAAGCCCAGCACACTCTCTCTCTCTCCCGCTCTCTCTCTCTCTCTCTCTCTCTCTCTTTTAAAATTAGCTTCATAAATTCTACATAAAGTAGCGACATATTGGTTTCTATGGTGGCCATAACAGTTGACTACCATTTAGTGGCTCAAACAAAGCAAATATATTATCTTACAGCCCTTTAGGTCAGAAGTCTGATGTGGGTCTCACCGAACTAAAACCAAGGGGTGGCAGGGCTGCTGTGTTCCTCTCAAGGGGAGCCCTTTTCTTGCTCATCTGGGTGTTGGCAGAATTCAGATCCTTGTGGTTTTAGGACTGAGATCCCTGTTTCCTTGCTGGCTATCAGCTGAGGGCCATTCCCAGCTTCTAGAAGCTAGCACCTTCCCTGGCTTGTGGCCTCCTTCCTCAATCTTCATAGCCAGCAATGGCAGGTCAAGTGCTTTGTATCTCTCGTCATTATTTTTAGGTTCATCTCTCTGATGCATCTGGGAAAGGACCTCTGCTTTTAAGGACTCATGATTAGACTGGGCACACTTATGCAAATGAGGCTCATCTCCCCATCTCAGACTCCATGTGTTTAATCACAGCTACAAAGTCCCTTTTGTCATATAAGGTGACATACTCACAGGTTCCAGACATTAGGGCCTGGACATCTTCAGGGAGTCATTATTCTGCCTACCACAGATTATAAATTTCCAGACTCTCAGACTCTCTTGATTGTCCAGGATCTTTATCACATGATTTTTTTGGTAATAGCTTTACTGAGATATAATTCACATAATACACAATTCATCTATTTAAAGTGTACAATTCATTGTTTTTTAATATAGCCACAGAGTTGTGCAACCATCACCACAATCAATTAAAAACATTTTATTTGGGCTTCCCTGGTGGCGCAGTGGTTGAGAGTCCGCCTGCCGATGCAGGGGACACGGGTTCGTGCCCTGGTCTGGGAAGATCCCACATACCGCGGAGCAGCTAGGCCCGTGAGCCATGACTGCTGAGCCTGCGCGTCCGGAGCCTGTGCTCCGCAACGGGAGAGGCCACAACAGTGAGAGTCCCATGTACCGCAAAAGAAAAAAACATTTTAATCACCCCAACAAGAAACCATGTACCTATTAGCACTTGTTCCCTATTTTCCCTGAGCACTTCCAGTCCTAGGGAACCACTAATCTACTTTCTGTCTCTGTGGATTTGCCTATGCTGTATGTTTCATATAAATGGAATCCTATAATATGTGGCCTTTTGTGTATATATAGTATGTTAGATAGACACATATATATAATGTGTATCTACATCATGTTTTCAAGGTTCATCCATGTTGTAGTATATATCAGTGCTTCATTCCTTTTTATTGCTAAGTAGCATTTGATTGTACAGATATACCACATTTTGTTTATCCATTCATCAGTTCATGGACATTTGGGTTATTTTCACTTTTGAGCTATGATGAATAATGCTGCTATGAACGTATACCTGTTTTTATGTGGACATAACGTTTTCGTTCTCTTGGGTATATACCTAGGAGTGGAATTGCTGGGTCATATGGTAACTCTGTGTTTAACTTTTTGAGCAACTGCCAGATTATTTTCCACAGTGGCTGCACCAGTCTGCATTCCCACCAACGATGGATGATCCTATTTCTCACATCCTCGCCAACACTTGTTATTATCTGACTTTTTGATTCTAGCCATCCTTGTGGGTGTGAAGTGGATCTGATTGTGTTGTTTTGATTTGCATTTTCCTGATGGCTCATGGCATTGAGCATCTTTTCAGGTGCTTCTTGGCTGACTGTATATCTTCTCTGGAGAAATATCTAGTCAGATGATTTGCCCATTTTTCAAGTGAGTTATCTTTTTATTATTGAGTTGTTAGAATTCTTTATATATTCTAGATACAGGCCCCTTACCAGATTTGCAAAAATTTTCTCCCATTCTGTGGGTTGTCTTTTCACTTTCTTGATGGTGTCTTTTGTAGCATAAGAATTTTTTATTCTGATGTCCAGTTTATCTATTTTTTCTTTTGTTGCTTGTGCTTTTGGAATCATATCTAAGAAGGCTTTGCCTAATCCAATATCATGAAAATTTATGCTTGCATTTTCTTCTAAGAGTTTGTTTTACCTCGTATGTTTAGGCTTTTGATTCATTTTTGGTTAATTTTTGTGTATGATGTGAGAGGTAAGAGGTCCAACTTTATTCTTTTTTAAAAAATATTTATTTATTTATTTTTGGCTGCATTGGGTCCTCGTTGCTGCACACAGGCTTTCTCCAGTTGGGGCGAGGAGGGACTAGTCTTCATTGTGGTGCATGGGCTTCTCACTGGGGTGGCTTGTCTTTGTTGCAGAGCACGGGCTCTAGGCGCATGGGCTTCAGTAGTTGTGGCTCGCGGGCTCTAGAGCACAGGCCCAGCAGTTGTGGCGCACGGGCCTAGTTGCTCCATGGCATGTGGGATCTTCCCGGACCAGAGCTCGGACCCGTGTCCCCTGCACTGGCAGGCAAATTCCCAACCACTGTGCCACCAGGGAAGTCCCCCAACTTTATTCTTTTGCATGTGACTATCCAGTTGTCCCAGAATGCTTTGTTGAACTGTCGCATAATGTGCCCCAAACACATATGCTTGGATTTCTATGCAACACTGACATGACCAAAGTCCCTCCCTGGTGCAGTAAGACAGACCCCAGCAGACCAATGCCTGGCAAGCAGCAGATCCTCAAAAAATGTTTGTCAGATGAATGCCCCCAAGTTCAGGGGTTGGAGTCCCCTTCATTCTGTGCATGACTCTGGAAATGTTTCCTCCAAGCGGCCACTTGGCCACAGTCTAAAGAGGTGCCTTGGTACCCTTGAGTAAAGGGG